GAGTCAGAGCAGAAGAGACCGTTTCCAACCCTCTGCCTCAGAGCAGAGAGACCGCAGTCTGTTCTTCAGTGAGCTCTCCAGGCCACACCATCTCCACTTCTGTCCGTGGTGCTATAAACTGCAGCAGCCTGGGTTGTGCGCCCCTCCACAGTGCTCCAAGTCCTGCCTCCAGGTCGGGCACGTCTCTGCCCTTTGTGCTTCTAAAACCGCCAGCCGCTCCCAGTTCACACGTGCAACCTCGCCGCTCCGGGTTTCCGTCAGTGGTCTGCCCTAAAGTCCTTTCCCTGCTGCTACTGGTCTGTGAGCCTGTGCCCGGTCCCCAGCGCGTGAGGCTGTCGCTCACCGGCGGTGTAGGATCCCGACGGCCAGGCTCCCTCTCCCCCTGCCGTTTATCCTCCAAAATCTGCCTGCAGAATCATGGCTCCCGGCTTCATACCTTGAAACCAGCCGCCCGCGATATTGTTTGTAGAGATCCGGATCTATTTTCTTACATCTCAGGCTGATTTCGTGGGTGCTCAGAGTTGTCTGGTAGATATCCAGCTCAATTCCGGGGACCAGTTGGAATAGGGTCCCCTACTCCTCCAGCATCTTTTCTCTCAGTACAGCTGGCCCTTGAACAAGGATTTGAACTGCACAGGTCCCCTCTACATGGACTTTTTAAGAAATGATACTATGAATGTATTTTAAGATTTTTTAAAAATTTTATTTATAGACAGCGAGAGAGGGAACACACGCAGGGGTAATGGGAGAGGGAGAAGCCGTGGGGCTCGATCCCAGGACTCTGGGATCATGACCTGAGTCGAAGGCAGACACTTAACGACTTAAGTCACTCCTTGGCGCCCCTTGACTGTAAATTTCTAATGAAAAAGTTATTTTCCCTCATAACTTGTATTTTTTTAGTTTTTTTAAAAGATTTTATTTGACAGACATCGAGAGAGAGAGAACACAAGCAGGGGAATTGGGAGAAGGAGAAGCAGGCTTCCCGCCGAGCAGGGAGCCCAATTGGGGCTCGATCCCAGGACCCCGGGATCATGACCTGAGCCAAAGGCAGACAATTAATGACTAAGCCACCCAGGTGCCCCTATTTTAAGATTTCTTAACATTTTCTTTTTTCTAGCTTAACTTTATTGTAAGAATGCAGTATGTAATATATGCAATATACAAAATATGTGTTGTTACTTAAGGCTTCCAGTTAAGAGTAGGGTATCAGTAATTCAGTTTTTGGTGAGTCAAGTTACATGTGGATTTTCAACTGCATAGGGACTTGGCACCCTTACCCTTGATGTTATTCAACTGTACTTTAATGCTCAGTAGAAAAGTTAGGGGAAAACTATAGCAACCTGTGGAAGATCCACATCCTTTAGTAAATGCAGATCTGGGTCACGGGAGAGGTGCTGGTGAGGATCAGAAGCTCAAGTAAGGTATGTTGAGGGTGCCAGTTACTGTCTCTTAGTTCCAACCTGTCCTTTACTTGGCATACCTGTTCTCCTTTGTCAGCTGGCTCTGTGTTAGCTGATGAAGGATGCTAGATAAAAACTGCATACTGAAGAAGAAGAGGGACTGACTGACTTCTTCCTGTCTTCTAATTTCTCACAGCTTCATTCTGATGACGCTTCTTCATGCTGGCAGTGGCGGTTCTTCCCGAGAGTAGCAGCCAAACCCAGTTTGCAGTTTTTCCAGCACAGGCAGAACCAGGCACACTGTCAGCCCCAGCCATCACCCCACAGAACTCGCTTCCTAGCCTAGAAATTCCAGCACTGGCCAGGTGGCAGCCCTTCCGTAAGGCTCTGGTTTAATAATTCAATGGTGAACACTGTTCCCTCAGCCTATGATGGAAATATTGTGGAGATAGTCCTAACAGCTGTGCAACCTCGTGAATAAATTAAAAACCACTAAATTGTAAATGGTTAAAATGATAGATTTTATCCCAGTTTTGACATTTGTTATACTGGGTAAAGAAACTGCAATTTTGGTAAGCAATAGTAAAGATGTCACGAGAGCATTTTTTAAAAATTGTGGCAAAATACACACATAACCTGAGTTGACCATTTTTAGTTCAGTGGCACTGAGTACATTCATACTTTTATGGAACCATCCTCACCACATCCATTTGCAAAACTGAAACTCTACCCATTAAACAGTAATTCCCCCTTACCCTTTCCTAGTTCTGGCATCCACTATTCTACTTTCTGTCTCAATTTGACTAAAGTGGAACCACACTGTGTATGTCCTTTTGTGACTGGCTTACTTCACTTACCATGTCTTGAAAACTCATCCATGTTGTGGCGTGAGTCAGAATTTCCTTGTATGTAAATGCCGTATTTCCTTTATCCATTCAGTCAACAGCAGACACTCGGGTTGCTTCCACCTTTTGGCTATTGTGAAGAATGCCAATAAATGGGTGTACAAATATGTGTCCCTGTTTTTTTATTTTAGATGAAAAAGCTACGATATGTTTTTGAAGGGTTAAAAATCAAAATTTTTTGAAAATATACCTCTTTTTTGCATTAGCTTAATTAAGAATTTAGTTGATACCCACCCAAAAGAGAACCCAAAAAGATCAATGGTACTATTTGCTTTAAAGAAACACAAAAGACATAAAGGTATCCATTGCAAATTTATTATGCATTAGGAAGCTTAACTTAAAAACCAACAGCATAGTAAAAAGATATGTTATCTCTGTTCATAGCAGAACAGGTTTCAAAATATATTTTCTTTTAAATGTATTCAGTCAGTACACAATCCTTTTATAAAAGTTGTATATATATTTTTCTTTCAACACCTTCATTACATTTTTAAATACAAGATTTACACAGCACCCCATCAAAAAAAATTTAAAACTCCTTACAAATATCTACATATATTTCATACCTATAAAACTTTCAGAGGAGTGCTCTGTTAAAGGTGGGTGGGGCCTAGTTAATGGTAGATTTATTGGTGCAGGAAAATACGTATAAATCTGTAAAGTTTTCTTTCCATAGAACATCTCGAAAAATTAGCAAGACACTTATTGTGAATGAAACTGAGCTTCCTAAACCACATTTTAGAAAACAATCTGATGTGCATATTCCCATGAAATTCAAAAGTCAGATAAACAGATGGAAATAAAGACCCGACTAAAAACCGATGCATACAATAGAGCAGTTAAGGCAGGAGTGAGATGAACGAGAAAAACTGAGAAGACAGAAGATGCAGCAAGGAGCAGATGGTAATAATGTGTTCTATGAGTGTGAACTTGGATATAAACTCCACTGGTATCCAGTCACTAATTCTCATCCTCACTTAGGAATATTTGTATTATTGAAAACGTTCTTAGAAGCTCCCTTCAAATTCTGTATTGCTACTAGAATACTTGATGTGCGGTTTTCTTCTGTAAAATCACCTGGGATCTGACCAAAACACCAGGTCCAGCGATCTGAGTTGCCAGTTCTTCATAATTTAAAATTTTAAGAAAATTTTCCTTTTATCTAAATAAAGGTTATCACTGATCATTATTAATGTCCAGAGGTACATTAATTTGCTGAATTTCATTCTAGCCAAGAACAGGAAGTAGAGACAAGGAAAGGAGAGTAAGATTTGGGTTTTTGTTGACCTTTGAACAAAGGCAATAGATCCCTGATACTGAGTGACTCTTGGGGCGGCCACTCATGAACACTCGTGGGCTAAGCGGGCACAGATCAGAGAAACAGGAAGGAAGAAAATAAGCAGGGACTTTTTACCTCAGATCTTGCCAGAGATGGCAGTCCACTCCCACCCTGCACCTTCCACTGAAAAGGAGATGGAAAAACTGCTATCACTCTTCCTCCACCATCTTTCTGTTTGCGTTTCAAAGTTTGGACTCCAGATGACTTTGAGAGTTGCAAAATTTGCAGGAAAGTACTTTGAATATTGTTCTAATAGACCACAAAAAGAAGGAAAGGAATAGGAGCGGGGGGGGGGGCGTGGAGGGATGGAGAGGGTCACTTCTCAAACCTGGCCCTGAAGGGTGCCACTAGCATCTCCCTTCCAGCACCATGAAGTCTCCGTGTGGCGTGGCTCCCACGGCTCTCCGAGGAGGCATCAGCAGAATTCCCCTTTCTGCCAGTTCACAGCTCAGTGCACTGATTCCCAGACTCCTCGAAGGAAGAGAGCTCCCAGATGCTGCTGTCTTGCAACAGTGGCTCAATGTCCTCATCACTGGCCCGCTCTGGGGTGTTGGTCAGGCTGCCGCTGATGCTGTTGCTATGTTTTTGAAGTCTACTGCCTTTACGGTATTCAGGGATGAATAAGGCAACCAGGAAAGACATGAGAACTATACATGCCCCAAATAAAAACGGTGGGCCTGGGATGACAGCTCCCTGAGGGGCATGGGAAACAAATGGAGATAAAGGATTCGGTTAGTCTTCAATCCAAAATTAGCCCTGGACTCCCCCAAACCATCAAAAAGTAAATCATTTTCTCATAAGCGAATGTTTCATTAAGTATCAAGGCAAATTTCCATAGAGCCTGTGTTTGGAATATGACAGAGGGCAACTAATCATTGTTCTTTGCACCACTTTTCAACAGCTTTTAAGTGGCAGTTGTGGGTCTCCAGTCCCCATCCTGTGACCTCGCACTATGTTCATGAACATTAAGGACAATTTTATACAGAAATTTACACTAAAGGAACGACTGAAGAAATATGTAGTAGAAAAAGCACTCTAGCTTAATTTCTAGCAGGGATCTAGGTCATTTCGCATTTTATTTGGCCTTTGCCGGGCTTCACCAGAGGACAGGATTCTGATCAGAGTACTTGTGTAGGTAAAAATGGACTCTGAACAAAATTAAGACAGAGCTTTTTTTTTTTTTTTTAAGATTTTATTTATTTTGAGAGAGAGAGAATGAGAGACAGAGAGTATGAGAGGGAGGAGGGTCAGAGGGAGAAGCAGACTCCCTGCCAAGCAGGGAGCCCGATGTGGGACTTGATCCCGGGACTCCAGGATCACGACCTGAGCCGAAGGCAGTCGCTTAACCAACTGAGCCACCCAGGCGCCCAAGACAGAGCTTTTTGCAGAAGATATTACATCACTGAACTGATCCTTCCTCAATCCCAGGAAGCACTGAACATAGCACACACAATAGAAACATCACATGAACAAGAACATTCTCCAAATTTAAGTTCAGATTTTGCTCTCATCAGACATATGGTTGTTATAAAACTAGACTTATCACCAAATTACCTGCAGGGCAGCATTGTCAGAATTCAATTCTGGTTCCAACTCAGTCAGTTCCACATGGAACATGTAGAATATGAAGCCATACAGTGCTGGTCCCAGGCCATTACACAGCCCTCTTATTCCAGTTATGATCCCCTGGGCAACTCCTACATGAGAATAGAGAGAAGGGAGCCAGTCTTCTCAGAAAAGCATCTCGAGATTAGGGACTTAACAGTATTTTCCTACAAACTGTGATCCACTGCTCAGCTGGACTAAGTATGAGTAGTCTGTGCTAAGGGAAGTAGATTAGGGACTTTGCCCATCATAGTTCCATTCGGTGCACAAATATATTACTGGTTTTACTATGTCCTGTTAATGTCCTAACTCTCCCTCCTAAGATCTATAAGGAGATGAAATGACAGTGATGTTTGTGAAATCTCTTTTGGGGGTGAATTCCCCCCCGTAACAGCTAGATCCTTCCTATAAATGGGGAATAAAAAATGAAAAACACTCTAATATTCTCCATTTATAGGCAATTTCCACTTTTCTATGGAATGAGATTTTCCTCCTCTACTCATCTAATGGTCCTTTTACAGGAAAAATCTGCCCTGTCTCCTGGAGCCCTGTGTGTGAGTCCATAGCAGTCCCAAAGTTGTGTACTCGCGGCACATTCACACAGACACTGCTCCTCATGGTGACCTGCACTGAAAAATCCCAGAAGTACCAACTTCTAGGTATCTCTGGTTTCTAACGTGGCAGATAAAATATTAGCTTGAATCATATGAAAATGGATGTTTCCACAAGTCAAAATTGTTCAAATATGATTCAACTTAATGTGTTCCAGTAATGTTGTATGCTGACATTTAGAAACCTCTGTATTAGAACATACAAGCATAATAAGAGCCAAAGAGAATTCATGTCATGAAAGGCCAGATGGTGCCTGTCAGACGTCAAGGCAGTGCCCACAGCTGTCTCACTTCTTCAGACATAACACCTCCCCAAGGACACATAGCCAAGGGAAACAGGGTGACACACAGAATCTGTCGTCTTCAAGTGACACTTTAAAAATGGGTATGAATAAGATGGCTAATTTCTGATGTGGAAAAGTAGGTGCAATGAATTAATCTTTTCCAGTCTAGTTTTTGTTAGAACTTTTAAAAAGGCTCTAGTGAATTTAAAAGATTTTCCTTCTAAAATTCACTACTTCCTGACTACTTTAGGTGAGCCATTAACAGATGGAGAAGGAAAGGATTAATTCTGGCAGTGGGAACTGCCTGACAGAAGCCAGAGGTTCATGATGAGTCTAGACGGTAGAGTGCTATTCTCCACATGGTCGTCTCCGTTTTAATTGTTTCCAAAGTACACATATTTACTTATTTATCCCCTCAAAAAATCATTTCCTAATTTAAGCTAATGGACTTTGATTCCAAATTAAAGAAATTTCAGTAATTATGGTGATTAAATAAAGAACTCATTGCTTTACTAACCAGTCTTTCCTAATTTGACATACATCTGTTAAAATGATTCTGGTGGTAAAAGACTCAAAACTGAAGAGAGAAAATGGATAGTTTTGGTTTTGTTTTTTGTTTTTATTTTGGATAGTTCTATTTCTAATCCTTAGTATTCTGAAAGTCCAGAAGCAGGAGGGAAAAGAGAAAGCTGTAATTGCTGAGAAGGGACCACATGGCTATCACCTGCTCCGTGACCTGGAGTATATCTTAGCTAAAGGAGGAAAACAGGGGACAGTGACCTCACCTTGCTGATCTGACTCTGCGTTCCGAGAGACAAGGGCGCTGACTGCTGGAAATGTGATGCTGGACATGGCGGCCACCGTCCCTGCTGCCCACATCATCCTGCAATGACAAGAGCGACTGCAGTCAGGTGGCAGGCCAGCCCTAAGGAGCTTACCGTTCAGAGTACAATCTGACAGAATCACAAAAAGCTTTCTGTTAGGTTGTATTTATTTTTCCCTCTTTAAAAAATGGTTTTTTGTTTTTGTTTTTTTTTTAAACCTGGAAGGTCCTACATCATACTGTTAATAATGATTACTTCACAGCTGGGAAGATTTCATTATTTTATGTTACCTCCTTCGAAATCCGTTCTTCCTCCTTGTTTGCCCATTACCATCTTTAAGATGTATAAGCTCAATGAAGTTCAAAAGGATTTGTTTCTATAAACACCACATCTTCCTCACTGATTTTCCACTTTTCTCTCTGTGCTTCTCACCTTCACACTGCC